GCTTTAGATTATTTGTGTTAAACTTTTGCAGTATTTTTTCAATGTTAATAAAACAATTCTTGCCAAATGACGGCATTTCCATTAACTGATGTTATGCAACTAAAACTTAATTTTTTCCTTTCATGATAAGTCATGACGACCGATGTTGGTAGGTTTACGTATATCGCAGCCACCACACTAGGCATGATTTTCAATGAAAGGATACGTAGGCATGTATCTTTTGCGAAGCAGCACGGAGAGCCACTTCTGGGACGCTTCTGAAATGTGTCAAGGTGCGGCTTTTGCGATATTTTATAAAAATGCAGATTAAAAACTATTGCAAAATGACGCAGTTTCCATAAACCAATGTTATGTTACTAAAACGTAATTTTTTCCTTTCGCGATAAGTCATGGCAACCGATGTTGGTAGGTTTACGTATATTTCGCAAAAACTCGCAGATATCGCAAAAAAGTTTTTATGCTCGCTTGAGGTGGTTTTTCAGGCAATTCGAAAAAAGGAATATTTTGGGGTATAATATACCCCTTATTTACACGGCACGTGTCTGCGGCACATTACGACTCCGACTCGGCACCTAGAGCCGATTGCGGCCACTCTAGTCACTGCTTGTGTTTATACCAGTTGCGGCACGTTTTAGAAGCGTCCCAGAAGCAACTCTCCGTGCTGCTTCACTAAAGATACATGCATACATCTCTTTCGATTAAAAAAATTATGACTAGTGCTGTGACTGCAACATACATAAACCTGCCAATATCCGTGGCCATGACTTATCGCGAGAGGAAAAAATTACGTTTTTAGCCACACATCTATCATTTTTTTAGATATTTATAAAATATTCAAAAACTTTTGTGCAAATCTCTAATGGAAACCGGCGAGTGACTTGTTGCCACCTACTGGCAGTTTTGGTTTTATATTTAAAGGATAATTTTTCCAACATTTCATATTTGTATATTCAAAATATTTTGGATTTTATAACATTAATATTATAACATTATATATCTAGGTGTAAACAGTCTCTGTAAATACTAATCTAAATTTCGCCTGATTTCATTTGATTGGTAACAGCCCTGCAATAGTCCTATCTTTCTACTGTAATTGCATTTATTGAGTAACTAAAAAAATAAATAAATAAATGTAAGGGGACATATACATTTAAAAGGGTTAGTAGAGTTGACTTTATAGAAAGGTTCAAATGCCACAGGAAATAGATTTTAATATCAGCCCCCTAATGGAAAAATTTTGGAAACGTTTCTGTCACTGCTTATACAGGTTTGGGATTATTTAAGTTTTTATCCCATCTTCAACTGTATCCTACAAAGTGTCCTCCTTTTTGGTGTTATAAAAATGGCCACCCTATGTAAGAGTCTTCCTCCTGGTAAGCTGCTGTCCAAGCTTCTCAACTAGCTTTAAAAATGTACACTACATAGGATTTCTCATGCACACTAGTCTAGAGTATATGTGTCTGAAAATAAACACAGTGACAGTGTCTCAGAAAGGAAGCCCATATCAGAGCTTTGCCTTTGCCCTGATACCCAATGACTCACTGTATCTCTACAAGAAGCTGATGGCACTCGCACCGCCACTGACTGACTAACCACAGGTCACTCTTACTCATAGTATGAATATTCAGCACTCTCTCTGACTCGTCCAGATTAGAAACATAGTGTGGGGAATTCACTAGGAATGAATTGTGCCCGCACCATTTATTTGCATTGTTTTAGCATTCAATTCCATTGCCTGAATTATGCAAATTATGGCACTGTAGTTAAGTATCAGATACCAATCGATAATCATCCATGTCAGATTCGTATACCTGACAGATATACAGATTCGTAATACCTCAAGAGATGTATTCTAAAATCAGCATGGTCAAGCTAAAGCAGTCTGTACCATCTTAGTGTCCCACAGCCTGAAGACATCAGCTCTTAAATTCTCAAGGCCTCTGTCTAAGAGACAAGGATAAAGACTTCCTGTCGGGACTGTAAGTAGCCGTGGGTCTAGCTGTCTCCCCGCCGCAGATGCAGCAGAGAGAGACGGGGAGATTTTGGAACATTAGTCTAATTGCTTGGTGCTTGAATTGTCATTTAAAGCCATTTCACCCGCACTGATAAAGGATCACGCGGTCTTCTGTTCTGTCCTGTTTCTGTTCTGTTCCCACTCACTGCCATCACATAAAACACATGCTGTTTTCCATGTAAAACAATCTGATTATGGAAATAAACATTGAAAGTGCTGTATCCTACATGTTTACAGTACTTACGGTCACCAACTTAGGAATAAGCATGTTGTTTTTGCAACTGTGCTGTTCAGATTTCGAAGAAAATGAATTGTTATCATTGGCTAAAATTTGTGAAAGGAATACTACATTTGTCAATATCATGCACTGTTAATTTGTCCTGCAATGCAATGCATTCAATCTAACCTTCCATATTAAATGTGATAAATGAACTGAAATCAATGATTTTTAACATCAACTTTTGGCAGTTTGATCATGGAGATGTTTTTACCCAAATTGAGATTAAAAATTGTTTTTATTTATTTTTGTTGAGAAAATATACTACTATTGTTTATTATGAAAAGTTGTAAGATGTATTTTTTTTTTTTTTTAAATTTAAGAATCTTACAGTTTTATTTAGCATGGATGCATTAAATTGATAAAAAAATTAAGACATTGTTAATACTGTAAAAATTAACAATACATGTAAGTGTAAAAGGGAATTAACAGTAAAGTCCTTTAAAATGTTACAGAATAATTCTATTTCAAATGCTGTTCTTTTAAACTTTCTAGTCATCAAGTAATAATAATAATAATACAATTTTAATTATAATAATATTAATTAAAATTTAATATTTTCTTATAAATAATTATTTCATTTTAGATTATATTAATATAAAATAAAAATATTGATTTTTAATTTAATATTATATTAGGTGAAAGACACATCATGCAGATGCGCTGGGACACATCATCAGTGATGTATTTGTTTTTACATTTCACAAAAATATTAGGCAGCACAACTGTTTTCAACATTAATAAAAAAAATGCTACAGCCAGTTTGAATTTGTGGAACAGTTTCTTTAATGAATCTAAAAAGTACACTTACAGAGAACAGATAAAACAGCTCGTACAGAAATAGAGTTCATATATCTAACAACATTTATTGATTAATCATGAACAGAAGAGCTGATATAGATATGTAAGTCAATCAATGTAGAAGTTTAAAATAGATTGCTCTGGGACAGATATAGACTGTCTTGGTATCATTTCCTGTGACGGTATGGAGTGGGCAGCCTGTGTAGCTACAAAAAGCATACGAAATTGAATTTTTGTGTAACCAGAGATAGGTAACAGGGAGCAGGTGCTGGATTAGACATTCCTGCTCTGATGTCATCAGCTGAGTTGGCAGACAGGAAGTGTTCATCCGCACGCACCACCTGCCCACAGACAATGACCCAGCACAATTCCCTGTGTGCGTGTGGATGTGTTTACACAGGGTTCATCTGAAAGACTCATCACTAAATCATGCATGAATTAAAAAGATCATTTCATCAAACGCCTACACAGAGGGGCATTTCATTGCTTAGGGTTGCTCTTTCATAGCTCAGGTAAACGTTCTGAGTTTTGTTTCATTTAAGGAGCAATTCCTTGGGGGACGTAAAAATAGAAACAGCCGAGACAATAATAGCAAAGATAATTTTGTCCTGGATGCATTTGATGAAATGTAAGTATCAAAATCTCTGACTTTTGATTGCAGACTTTAATTGCGAAATTGAAGAGCACAGCAATATACAAATTTAAACCATTTCTAGTTCACAAACTACTCTAAATTGCATTTAGTCATTAAACACACTTGCACTACCCTTCAAAAGTAAAAGTTAAAAAAA